GCAGAGCAGAGTAGAGCGAGCAGCGCTGTAACACTTGCCCAGGACACCTTCCCTTCACAGAGCAGAATTGTTACACTCTGCTCCCCACTCCCTCTCTCTGCTCTCTGCTCTCCAGGAGCTGAGCTGAACTGTAGCAACTTCACCTGAGAAACCTCCTGCTGCTGTACACTAGGCGAACATCCCCAGCTGGAAGACCCTGTCCTGCCTAAGCGGAGCCAATACACCAGAGAAGCCTTTCCCTGAGGCAGGGCTGTAAGCTGCTAAGCTTACTGCAACCTGTGGTGGTCCTTGGCTCCCGAGCTCCAGGATACCTTTCCACCTGAGCTGTGTAACACTCAGTATTCTGTGGCTCCCGAGCTCCAGGATACCTGACCCACTCCTGCTCCATCCTGTCCCGACCCATCCCGAAACGCTTACACATCCAAGGCCTTGAATAGCACAGCCTCTGCATACCACCTTCCAGGCTTCTAGCATCTCCACTAAACATGCAACCAGCTGAACACAGAACCCATAACAGCACTTCTGGTCCTTGCTCCCCTCCAAGGCCCAACCCCCTCCCAAGTCTTCCCTCTCACACACTCCTAGTCTTCCTGTGTATAGCAGGGACTGCGTCTGCTGCCATCCTTAGTTCCTGGTCCAGAGCTTCTAAGATTTTGGACTTTTCCTGTGATAAAAGTGAATGACCTTAAAGGGTCCTCCTTAGTCTCAACTGAGCCCGCACTGAGGCTGTGGCTCGCAGTGAGGGTAGACAGCCTTCAGATCAGGCCAGGAACCAAAGGCAGGAGTCCTGCTGTCCAGCTGAGCTCTGGAGGCGGCTCACAGTGCCGGCCAGCTCTGCTTAGCACACGAGGAAGTTGCTGTGGAGACCCTGAGAGCTGGGCCAAGGCAAAGTGAGCAAAAGAGGACAGAAACAAGGGGTAACTATCACACTGTTCCAGCCCAGGCTGGCTAAGCCTCCTCACCACACCACACGGTCACTTTGTTACTGTCACTTTGTTACTGTCTGAACTGTAATTTAAATATCTGTGCTTTCCCACGGTCCTGGGTGACCTCTGAGAAAGGGTCATTTGATAGACACACACCCCTCCCACCAAAGATCCACAGGTTCTGAATCATTGGATTAGAGGAATGTTCCACCTTGCCTGGTTCTAGTGGTACTGGGGGTTGAACCCAGGGCTGGGTGCTAGACAAGCACTCCACCAACTGAGCTATCTCCCAGCCCTACAGTGTTCATTCTACCATCTAAGACTCACAGTTTGGATGGACAGATTAGACATGCAATTTCATGTTTCATAAAAGCCAACTTTTTTTCAAAGTACCTGTACTTTTAATAATTTCTTGACATGATAAAAGAATTTTACATTACAATCCAGGGGTGGTAGGGTGAGAAGGGGCAGTGGAACTATCAAACAAAAGGAAGCTGAGAAACACGTGGTGGGAGGAGGGAAGGGGTTTAGCTGGAAGGGATCTGGGGGGGGTAGGAGTACTGCCCAGCTAAAATGCAATTGGTTCATTACTGAGCACTATTCATGGGAAGAGAGCAGGATTCTGACTCCTCTTCTATAGAATACTGGGAGTGAAAATGATGCATCCCGGGTGGAGTATGATTGGGAGTTTGAAGGCAGAGAGGAATAAAAGCCAAATAGAGAGCCACTGGCAGGTTAACTGCAGACACCAACTCTCACTTAAAAGCTGGGGTTGATGGGGTTAACACAAAAGCTATAACAAGTGATATCTCTGCAAGATTCGAAAGAGGAGGCAACTCTTCTATGGGTTTGACCTTCGCAGCATATTTATACACACACATACACACATGCACATGTGCGTGTATGTATGTGCACAGACACATATACACATGAATTACTGCTTTCCCTGGAAGCACAATACTATAAATATGAGAAATCTTTCCCAAAGGGAAAGCACAGTGAGGAGCAGCAGCCTCTGGACTTCACAGCTGCCCACACCCTATCCAGTGCACGAGCTGGCCCGGGAGAAGGGCAAGTGGGGGCCAGAAGGCCAGCTTTTGCATAACACCAAAAAGAACCTGAGTCACAGAGGGAAGGCCTCCATGAGTCCTCTGCTCCTCAGCTCTTGGTTCTCCTTCAACTTACCCTGGGCACCAATGGCTACATTATCAGAAGAGAGGGTGGGCCTGGGACTTGCCTGGGTGGATGACAAAGACAATTGTCACCTGCTGATGTGTTGCATGTGTGACGGGCTGAGGGGGCAGTGGTGCAGGAAGGAAGGCTATGTTCTATAATGGAGAAGGAAGCATGTATACATGTCCCTATGTGTGTGTACATGTGGACACATGTATATGTGAAAACCCCAGTTATAAAAACATCCAAAGGAGCTCTAGGGGTGCAGCTGAAGGCCTTAGGTATCCCTCATCACGGTCAGGCTCAAGGTGGGATAGACACAGGTGGAGAGCCCTAAGGCATCACCAGGGTAGCTGTGGTAGGGAGGACCTAAAGTCCCACATAAGCAAGAGGCACTGGCCTTGTGACAGGAAGATGTCCCTTCCACCTCCACACCCCCAGTTCCTAAAAGACACTGAACACTTTCCCTATAGTTCCTCCAGAAAAGCCAACTTTTATGCACCGCTGACTATGAGCCAGATTCAGCTGCCCATAGACAGGTTTAATCCTTACTATCTTCCCCATTTGCAGACGGTCACACTGAGACCTCACAATCTTATCTGTGTACGGCAGAGCGTGGCTCAGAGCCATCCTTGGCAGTACACCGAGCAAAGTGAGGCTGATGCCTTGTCCTGCATCTGTAGAAGCGACCCCAGAGGTGGAGCCTGACCTGTGTACCCTGGTGCTTAAGCCTCATTTCCTGTGGCAGGGTAAGGGTGGGGGAACTGAGGCCCAGAGATCTAATGAGGCTGTAGCAGGTTACCGGTGGCAGGATGAATATTGGAGCTGTGGCTGCGGCTTCCACCTCACAGGGGTGTTGCAGGAATGAGCACAAGAGGTGGCTCTGAGAAACCCTCCGGAGCCTGCTACCGACACCTCCTGCTCCTGTATGGGGACCGCACGAGGGGACACAGGCTGAGAGATGAAGACCAGAACCGGGGAGGTGGTGGCCGAATCTGGGACGAAGATTTGGAGAGGGCATTTAAGGAAAGAACTGGCGAGGACGAGGTAGAGTATGTTTCATGATGGAAGGCTTGGCACAGGCCTGGAGATGATAATGCCATGCTCCATTTACAGAAGGAGCAACTAAGGTCACCCAGCCATGTGTTGGGCTGTATCTGCCTGAATCCAGATTAGATTATTCCCAAGCATGTGCTCTCTGAAGTCAAGTTGCCCATGAACAAAGAAACCCCCCCAGGGAGTGTGGGGAGTGCTTTCCCAGACCCAGGATAGGGGAAGTAGCAGCAGGTCAGAGGCCAGGGGAGCCTAGATGGTGCAGGAATGTGGGGGCTTTCTGATGTGAGGTGAGACTACTACCACCTCACACAAGCACTCTTCTTTCAAAGATGGCCGGCTTCTCTGCTCTCTTGGAGCAGGAAAAGACCCATTGGGGGCAAGGCCTCCATACCTCTGGCTAACTGACTACCTTCAGGCACAGCCACTGGTTTTGGAGACCAGGCAGCTGCTGGAGGTTCATTGCTTCATTTCAAAAGTCTGGGTTTCCTCCTGGGTTCAAAACAGTGTAGGCTGATGAGAAAAAGGGAGAAATCAGTGGAGGGGAAGAAGGTGAGGTACAGCCTTCACTCCCCAGGGTCCCCCAGTAAGAGCCACGAAACAGAAAAACCCCACCCTGTGCCACCTGAGGATGCTCTGTCCCTGGGGTTCTATTATTAGCAGACCACCCTAATTAGTACTTTCACACCTGCGTCATCATAGACTCCAAATCAGCTGCTCAACTCACTTTTGCGAATGAGTCAATGTGTGGCATGTAGACGTGGGCCACCCTTTAAAAGGAAAGGGACATTTGTGGAAACAGGCTGAGTCCTCACCCTCTCTCGTCTTTGCACCTTGAAGCCAGCAGAGCAGGAATAGTGGAGATGGTTTGGGTTTTCCTTCCCACATTTGCCAATGTTTTTTTTTCATTTAAAAAAAGTGTGTGTGTGTGTCTGTGTGTTCACATGCACGCACAGCATGTTCATGGGACAGAACTCTGGTTTGCAGATTTGCCTGGCTCGACCTTTACCACCCCCCCAAGCCATCCCAACAGCCCTTAACTTCTGGCCAACAGTAAACCTAACCCTGGACCCCTTTTACGGAGGAGCAGTGAGAATCTTTTTCTCTGGTTCAGCCCTGAGAAGCTGGTGGTCCACCCTTCATGGAGTCATCCACAGTGGTCCAGAGGAAGTCACTGGGAAATCCAGGAGACGAACTGGCTTTTGTTCCAGCATCATCCCCTGAGACTTCCTGAATTTTCTGGAGCATCCCCAGTCTGATAAGGACAGACAGTTGTCAACCTCCCCCTCAGAGGACAATGTCCAAGGATAAAGAGGGACTGAGGAACATCTGCTGGCCTCCCCCTCCATCATGTAATGAGCATTGCACCTACCTAGACAGAGAACAGAGTGCATCACTGCCATTCTGCATCTAGAGAAACTGAGGTTTGGGGTAGATGGTGACCCATCTGTTGTCACTTCGATGGTGTCAACAAGGGCTTAGCCTTGGTGATGTTGGCTTGAACTGCTTTTCAACTGATGATGTAATACCAGAACCACTGAACATGCTGAAGACTCAGGGCACAGTGAGCTTGGTGGCTGTACTGGCTGGGTTTGTGTCAACTTGGGATAAGCTAGTGTCATTAGAGAAGAAGGAGCCTCAGGTGAGGAAATGTCTCCATGAGATCCAGCTGTAAGGCATTTTCTCAATTATCGATCAGAGGGGGAAAGCCCAGCCCATTGTGGGTGGTGCTATCCCTCCACTGGTGGTCCTGGGTTCTATAAGAAAGCAGGCTGAGCAAGCCAGGGGAAGCAAGCCAGTAAACAGCTGGCCTCTACATCAGCCCCTGCCTCCAGGTTCCTGCCCTGTTTTGAGTTCCTGTTCTGACTTCCTGCAATGATGGACTATGATCTGGAAATGTAAGCCAAAAAACTCTTTCCTCCCCAGATTGCTTTTTGGTCATGGTGCGTCACTGAAGCATTAGAACCCCTAACTAAGACAGTGGGATGGCCTAAGTGTGCAGATAGGCTGTGACACAGTATGCCTAGACATGGGGGAGCATGGCAGCTTAGCCTGCATTTAAAGCGGATGTTAGTACTAAGCTACAGTGAAGTAAAAGGGTCTAGGAAGGAGGTGACCCAGCTAGGAGGTAACCCCAAACTAAGAGGTGACTCCAGCTCAGAGGTGGCCCCAGGAAATAGTCAAAGAGTGTGGGAAGTGTGTGAAGAAGACAGAAAGGGTTGCACTGCAATGCTTTGTAGACTGTGAAGGGCCAGGTCCCTATGCAAGGTAGACAGGAAGGGAGTGGAGTTTGTGACCAGCCTCCTTTCCCGCACTGAGTTCTATGAATCCAGTGAAAAGTGATATTCTGTGAAGCATGCTGGTGTGTAGCTGTAGATCCAGCTTCAGAAGGCTGAAGTAGGAGGATTCATGAAAGTTAAGGCCAGCTTAAGCTACATTTTGAGACCCTGTCTCAAAACAAAAAGCAGAAACAGAAGTCACACACCCTCAGCGAGCTTCAAAAAGCATCACTAGATTCTGAAATAGAGTCATTCAGATGAACAAATTAAAACCAACTATTCCCAGATCAGGGTGGGCCCTGGTCCCATAGTACATGGACAGAGACACAGGGAGAACACTACATGATAACAGCCACATTCAAAAGCAAGAGAACAAAACCAGGTCTGGCATCCTGCTTCTTCCTGTCTTACCTCCTTCCTGTTTGTGCATACAGATCCAAGCTAAAAATCATTCATCAGGCACTTATTGGGTACCAACCACACATCAGGCAACACTGAAAATACTTATCACCATCACCATCACCTCATCACCATTGTCATCATAACCAACAGCATCGGCACCATCACCATCATCATCATCATCATTATTCCCATCACCATCATTACCACAATCATCATCACATCATTACCATCATCACCACCACTACTACCATCATCATCATCATCACCATTATCATCATCACAATCATTTCTGTCTAACATTTGCTGAATGAGAATAGGTTAGATGTCACACACCATGTGTGGGATCCCCATTTTCCTCGAGGTCCATTGACTACCAGTCTATGAGGACAAAGGGGCAAAAGCAGTGACAGAGACCTTTGTACAACCTGTGAACATGGTGGGAATACCCTTCCAGGAGACAGCTTCAGTGAGGCAGTTCAGCTTTATTCTAAAATATAGGGGTTATACAGGAGTGGGGATGGTAAGTGGAGAATCACCTAATTTGCATTAAATGGCATGCTCCTATAATACAGCTGAACACAGCACATGGTCCTATCAAAATAGCTAGAGCATGTCACCTAATTACCATATGGGCAGCCAGGGAAGAGCATTTGCAGGGAACTGTGTGAAGAGTCACACTAGAAGCTGTGCGTTGGTGGCGCACGCCTTTAATCCCAGAACTCGGAGGCAGAGGCAGTTGGGTCTCTATGAGTCTGAGGCCACCCTGGTCTACAGAGTGAGTTCCAGGACAGCTTCCAAAGCCACAGAGAAACACTGTCTGAAAAAAAATGTTCAACAGGCTTGCATCCAGATCAGTCTTATGGAGGCATTGCTCAAATTGAGGCTCCCTCCTCTCAGATGACTACAGCTTGTGTTAAGTTGACAAAAAACTGTCTAGCACAATAGGTATTATTAACCCCTCAAATACATGAGAATGGATGCTGGCTGATGTATCTAGGAGAACTCAGCCAGTGAACACTGAATCTCCTTTCTGAGCGCAACTTGGATCCAAACCTGGTGTTCTACTCCCCATGACCAAACTGAGTTGGGTTGGCCAAGATGTCCGGCCAGCACTGGCCAAAGTCTGCCTCCTGAGGCTTGGGGACAATATGCTAGGCTGAGTGACTGGAATTGGGGCTTGTTTTATCTTCCTCTAGAGAGGACATGTGTAAAAATCTTCCAACCACTGTGTGCCGGTCACTGATGAGAATAGCAGTTAAGAAGTTATGAGTTATTAATGTAAATTATAATAACAAAATGAAGATCATTGCTGTAATTATAAGAGGTACCATCAATGAATGCTAATTGTGATCATTAGTTCTGATCTATTGGGGGATGAGGGCTCAGAGCGCTGTATCAGGAAGGTATGTGGTTGCTGAGTGTTCTAGTTCCCTTTCTGTTGCTGGAACTAACACTCTGACCAAAAGCAACTTGGGGAGGGAAGGGTTCATTTGTCTTACACTTCTAGGTCACAGTCCCTCACTGCGGGAACTGGGGCAGGAACTCACGCAGAAGCTACAGAGGAGCACTGCTTAGTGGCTCACTCACTCAGCTAGCGTTCCTAGACAGCCCAGGCCCATATGCCTAGGGATGGTGCTGCCTAAGGTGGACTGGGCCCTCCCATGTCAATCACCAGTCAAGGCGATCTTTCACAGACAGCACCACAGGCCAATCTGTTTGAGACAGTTCCTCAACTGAGGTTCCCTCTTCCCAGGTGACGCTAAGTGGTGTCAAGTTGACAACTGAAGAAAACTAACCAGATTAAGACACTAAAAGTATGTGAGGAAATGGGATGACAATTCAAAATACCTGCCCAAGTCCAGGTCAGAGAAAAGGTATAAAATACTGCCTCCCCAGGAATATGTTCCCGAGACAGCTACTGGTGGATTGTCATTCCTAAAGCTACAAAATGTCCTGGGCCTTAGGATTGAGAAACACGGTAAGCATGAAATGGACAAGCTGCTGGCACAACATGATGGCCCAATTACATTCGATACCTTGATTAAATAAATGGAAGGCAGACACTCCAGAGCACAAATTAGGATGACGTAGTAAATCCCTAGACAACATAACCACTCACTATAGGGCAGCATGGTGACTGATTGTAGGCATATACTGCTGGGCTTCCTTATGACTAGAAATACAATGGTTGACACATCAGTCATGCCTTGTGCAACAGCAGCATGATGACAAACTGCAGTGTCAACAGCTGACAGGATTTTCTAGGCTCCAGAGTTGTCTTAGACACTTTCTCAGCATTGGCAATCCGCAATTGCCTACAGCATGGTTATATATACGTTGGGTGCCTCTTGGCTCAGGAATAAGATCAGCAGGCTGTGTGAGATGGAGGTCGTCATGACCCTTCTAATCTGGACTGAGCACCAGGAAAGATTCAGGTGGTGAAAGCCGAATTCAGGTGCCTTCTTACCTTAGAACGCGAAAGGTATGGCCACAGCTCGCAGCCTCATGAAGGCTGAATGATGAGACCCAACAAGAGTCCAGGAGCACTGTTTGAACAAGGCAGTGCTACATTGCTAAGTGACTAGGCCACTTCCCTATGAGCCTCCCTGAAATCGCAAATTACTTCGGACTATAGGATCAGCCCCAAATCAAACACTTTCTTTTATAAGTTTTAATTGGTCATGGTGTTTGTCATGTCATTAGAAAAGCAGCTAAGACAGACAAACACACACACACACAATAAATTAATAAAAACATAATAAATAAATTTAAAAAACAATAAAGGGTTGAAGCAATTGGACACACAAACGCACACACATATAGAGGGAGGCATGGATGTGGGGGGCACTTATAGATGGAATTATATGGTTTCTGTTTGGTTGGTTGTTTTGAGACAGGGTTTCTCTGTATCACTTTAGCTGTCCTAGAACTCGATCTGTAGACCAGGCTGGCCTTGAACTCAGGGATCCACCTGCCTCTGCTTCCCAAGTGCTGGGATTAAGGGTGTGTGCCATCACCCAGCCTGGAACTGTGTCTTTTAAGATGAACATGAGACCTGCTGTCCCCAGGGAAACTCAGACAAGAAAAGGCAAACACTGAGGAAGACACAGGTCTGTTGGATTCGTCATGAGCCGTACCGGAAGCTGAGGGAAAGGTGGTATTTATAGGACAGAGTGATAAGCTGGTTTTTATACCAGAGAAAAACACACAGATAAGAATGGACGCCTCTGAAGCAGGCCTGCTTATGGTGCTCCAAAAATAACACCAGGAAGCAAAGAGACTCAAATCTCCTCCTAGGAAAACTGGCTCGCCCGCGCAAAGCAGCCAGCATGGTGGTCCTCTTGCTTCATACAGATGAGATCTCTGCATCCGTAAGGAATGCATCACTTTAAGGAAGTTATACTTCCTGGCTGTGGTGGCACACACCTTTAGTCCTAGCACTCAGGAGGCAGAGGCAGGTGAATCTCTGTGAGTTCAAGGCCAGCCTAGTCTACACAGGGAGTTTCAGGCCAGTTAGGACTACACAGAGGAGACCTAATCTTAACAAAGAAGCAAAGACGCCATGTTTTTTTTTTCAAATCTAAGGTGACTTTTTTGTTTGAGTATTTGGGTTTTGTTGCTGTGCCCAGAGCCTCGTGCATGCTAGACAAACTCTTCCACTGAACATGCCTAGCCTCTTTACTACTTATTTGGTGACAGTGTCTTTGCTAAGTCACCCAGACTTATTGTGAATTTACTCTGTAGACCAAGGCTGGTTTTGAACCTGTGATCCTCCTGCCTCAAACTCCTGAGTAGCTGGGATTTCAGGCATGTATCACCAGACCTAGCTTGGGGGGGGCGTTGGTATTCTATTGGAATATTTAATGAAGGAAACTCAGGAGTAAGGGAGGGGACAATGGTGGAGAGGGAAGGGGTAAAGATGGCTGACACGGTGCTGCCCTCCTCACCTTCTGCCCTCTGCCCTCTGTCCTCTGCCCTGTGGGAGGACCAGCTCCCTTTCTTGTTTCAGCAGCAACTGGGCTCTGAACTCCACCAGGGGTTTCTTCCCTGTGAGAACAACCCAGGAACACGGCAGAGGAGGTGGGACAGAAGGAGGGTGACCTGAATCCGGGACCCAAATCTAAGCTCAAAGATGTCCTGAAGGCCTCTGTATGCCCTGTACCTGTGTGGACCACACTGTCCTTGTGATGCAGATGACAGAGACCGGTGACAACAGTGACCGTGTGGCAGAGCTGCAGGAAGGAGCCAGGGAACTGTTTGCTTCTCTGCCTGAAGTGGTGTCCGTCCCCAAAGGAGAACCAGGCCACCTTTGCTACCCCTGTCCCCCCCAGTTCATCCACCTCTAGGGGGTGATTTCAACACTTACAAAGAGAAAAGGGACAACAGGGCCAAGTGGTCCTCCCTCCCAGCTCCTGCACACGGCCATGCTCTCCCTAAGCTTTTACAGTATCTGAGTATGGGGTTCCCCTTACTTTTTTTGCTATTGTTTTGTTTGAGGTTTTTAAATAGAGCCATATTATACTACCCAGGCTAGCTTTGAACTTGTCATCTTTGTGTCTTAGCTTCCTGAGTGCCGTTTATGGGTGTGTACCAACATGCTCAGCTGTTGGGTCTGCCTTGCATGACCCAACACATATGAATGTAGGTATATGTCCAGGCTCATCCGATGAGCTATCAAAATTCATCTCTTTGCCATCCCAGGTCCAGAGTCTGGGTTCCTTGCTGGCTGTCTGCCCCATGTAGCCCCCGAGACTCTCTCCACTTGAGTCCTCAGTGTTGGTTTAGAGGACATCCTGTATAACAGGGTTAAACCACGGGGCACACATCTATCACCTTTGCCAAATGAAATGGCCCAGGAGTGCCCCCATGTTCCTGCGGTGAGAAGCATGTCATCAAGCGGCAGGACATATCCAGAGTATTGCCCTGATATGTCTACCATTATCTTGTGTGTCTTTCCCCCACACCAGGTTCTCATGTGTCCTCTCCTGAGTCTCTGTCCCAAGTCCAGTGTCTCACAGGGGAAAACACGGTGACAACTGCAGAGACAGGCTCTGCGTGTCCTCTCAGTGAGTACAGCCTCCAGGGAGACAGCAGGTTTCTGCTGGATCAGGCAACTGCATGGGAGACACTGTGTGTGGGGGGTCTCACAGCAGCTCACTGGATTGAAGCTCCTGCCATAGTAGCAGGTATGTGGCTTCGTTTCTGTCAACATCACACAAGCTACAGTCACCAGAGAAGAAGGAGCCTCAATGAAGGAATCACCTCCATCAGACTGGCCCGTGGGGACATTTTTGGCTGATGATTGATGAGGCAGGCCCAGCCTACCATGGGCGGTGCTGCTTGGCAGGCGGTCCTGGATGGTTTAAGAAAGCAGGTTGAGCGAAGCGTGGGCATTAAGCCGGTGAGCACTCCTCCATGTAGCTCTGCTCCAAAGTCTCTGCATCATTTCCTGCCCCCATTTCTCCCTTGAGTCCCTGCCTTGGATTGCCTTAATGATGGGCTACCACCTGGAAGCCAAATCCACCCTTTCCCCCCCAAGTTGCGTTTGATTGTGGTGTCTATTACAACAGCAGAAACCAAACTAGAACAGTGAGGAGTCCTGGCTTTGGAGCCTCCCTGAGCTGGACTCCAAACAGCTGGAGGTGCCAGGGCAACAGGGCTGGGGTGATGCAATAAGCCCAAGGGAGGGCATATCAGCTGCTGTTGGGTGGTCAACCTGCAGCCATGCTGGCACCTCCTGTGGCTGCCTCCAGAAACACATCCCTGCACCTTCAGAGAAGCAGCAGGGTGCAAAAACCGAACACATCCTGGCCCTGTTCAACATTCCAGTGGGGGCAAAGCCCATTGTCACCCACAGCCTTCACCTCTTCTGAAAGAGTAACAGCCATGAGCACTGTTCCCAGTCAGCTCATTCAAAGCAGGGTATAGCACTATGTATAGAAGTGACCTGAAGGTTCCCTGTTCTGTTGGTCAGAGACAAAATGTGTGTGTGTGTGTGTGTGTGTGTGTGTGTGATGTGTGTGGAATGTGGTGTGTGTGTGTGAGTGTGGTATGTGTGTAGTGTGTGTGTGAGTGTGGTATGTGTGTAGTGTGTGTAGTGTGTGTGTCTGTGTGTGTGTGTGTGTGCTATGAGGTATGCATGTGGTGTAGGCATGATGTATGTGTATGTCTGTGGTGAGGGTTCTGTGACACAAACCTCCAGTTTAGGAATTCCAGGACTCTGCCTTCTGGCCTGTGGCCCAGGTATAACAGCAGGTTCCTCAGCCCACTTTCCTACCCAACTTGTAAAAGCATTTTTAAATACCACGCTTTGTGCTCTGAAGACACTGACGTATTTAAGCAGAAGCCATGAATCACGGTAGAGTTCTATAAATAGCACCCTGCTGTTGACAGAGCAGCCCTACACCCTAGTCTCACTGCCAGCTCCTGACTCCAGCACCTGTTGCCCTCATCTGCTTGGCATACCTGGACTCCTGTCCCCAAGGGCTTGGATGGGCAGTGGTCATATATGAGCCACAAGCATCATAGCTGACACCAGAATGTACAATGTGAGGTCCAGGTTCAGTGAGAGATCCTACCTAAAAAATTAAAATAAAATAAAAAGTGAACACTAGAGGAAGATGACAAAGGTGGAGAGAAAACACATGAAAATATGAAGATGACCTTTGGCCTCCACATGCATGCACACACATGTGCGTCTGCTCTAATTCAGGGCGGTCATTCTGCCTGTGTTCTTCATTTGCCTTATGTCCTCATAGGCTGGATTTGTCCACCCCAGGAGTTCCATGTCAACAGACCATGGAACCATCTGGCTTCCAGACAACATGATTCATGGGACATCCGTGTATACTGAGCATATTTAAACCTTTTCTTAGATGTTTCAAGACATGGTTACTTGGGCCTAAGGTCCTAGACACCTGTGGCTCTGTGACTTACAGATATCAGTGTGTAAATACCTATACACTGTTCTCACTGCTAACAGAGGACATCTATCTGGACGGATCCCAGACCTTCAAAACCCAGAGCACCCACTGAACTCAATCCTCCAAAGGACCATGTATACGAGAATAGTGTAGCTGCTACTGTAGGGATACTTTTCCTTGAGAGTCATTTCTATTCGCCCCAGTAGAGGATGAAATGACACAGCAAAGAAGCAGTTCTGTCCAAGCCCGGAATGGTGAAGAAAGGACTTTATGTGCACAAGCATTAGTGAGGAGCTTGGGTGACATGTGCAGCTGCACTGCCCCAAGACTCATCTCAGCGTGGGACTCACAAAGCCCTGAAGCTCCCTGCCCTGCCCTCGGGCAGCTACACCACTGCAGACAGCGCTTGCAGCTACACCACTGCAGACAGCGCTTGCAGCTACACCACTGCAGACAGCGCTTGCAGCTACACCACTGCAGACAGCGCTTGCAGCTACACCACTGCAGACAGCGCTTGCAGCTACACCACTGCAGACAGCGCTTGCAGCTACACCACTGCAGACAGCGCTTGCAGCTACACCACTGCAGACAGCGCTTGCAGCTACACCACTGCAGACAGCGCTTGCAGCTACACCACTGCAGACAGCGCTTGCAGCTACACCACTGCAGACAGCGCTTGCAGCTACACCACTGCAGACAGCGCTTGCAGCTACATCACTGCAGACAGCGCTTGCAGCTACACCACTGCAGACAGCGCTTGCAGCTACACCACTGCAGACAGCGCTTGCAGCTACACCACTGCAGACAGCGCTTGCAGCTACACCACTGCAGACAGCGCTTGCAGCTACACCACTGCAGACAGCGCTTGCAGCTACACCACTGCAGACAGCGCTTGCCCGTTCTTTACTATGTCAGGGAGGGGCCTGCCAAGCTTGCTGAGCTTCCTCAGTCATGTGCATTCTTGTGAGTTTCAGAAACCTTTCTCTCCCTTCAGGAGGAGTTGCTTTAACCAAAAGAGATAACCGAGGGATAATCTCCTACCAGCAGATAGATGCCAAAGTCAGATGAGTTTCTGTGGGCAATGAGGAGGTGGTAATTTCTTGCTTCCCATTCATTGGACAAGACCCCAGACATAGACAGGTCAGGAGAGTGTCATGGCTAAAGTCACTGGAGAAGAGGAAGCCTTGATTGAGAAAATGTCTCCATAATATAAGACTATAGACAAGCCTGTAGGGTATTTTCTTAAGTAGTGATTGATGGGGGAGGGCCCAGTCCATTAGTCCATTGTGGATGATGCCATCCCTGGCCTTGGTGGTCCTGGGTTTCATAAGAAGGCAGGCTGAGCAAGCCATGTGGAGCAAGCCATTAAGCAACACCCCTCCATGGCCTCTGCATCAGCTCCTGCTGCCAGGTTCCTTTCCAATTTGAGATCCTGCCCTGACTTCCTCCAACCAAGAACAGTGACATGCCAAAGGGTAAGTCAAATAAATCCCTTCTTCCTCAGTTTGTTTTGATCATAATGTTTTTCACTCACCTTGAAAAGCATCAGCCTGGGCTGCCATGGTCTCCCTCCATCAACAAGGAATGGGAGTGTGGTGGATTTCAAGTGGCATGATATAGCCTACCACTAACTGACATGTCCTTGGGGTGACAGCAGGGTTTGTCATCCTAGCCTAGAGGAACTGGTTAGGCTTCTGCCATGGAAAACCATACTGGTGTGACCCACTTGTTGGTAGGTGTTATATAGCAATTTCCTTCTAGATAACACTATCCATCTTGGAGGGAAGCTCCTTAAGACATGGGATGCTCTAAGGGAAGATGAAACACTCCATCCTCCTTGAGCTCAGGAAATAACTCAAAAGCTTCAGGAAGTCCCTGAAACCGATCAGATTCTCAAGGTCCCTCCCTCCCCAAGCTTATATTAGCAATAAGGACTGCTGAGAGGGCTCAGGCATCTGAGCTTCCTATAGAGGCTCAGGCCAATTCCAGACACTCCCCAACCTGTTGAGCCTCCTAGTGGCTGTGCAGTGTGTTCCAGGTTTCCATCTTTGGTAAGCTGTCACCATGCCGAGGTAGGCTTTGGCAGAGTTAAATGCCTTTGAGTCATTTCTGTTCCTGTAAGTAACCCCTAAAAAGCTCACTGATTCACCGAGTGGGACTTTGGTGAGTAGACACTTGTTCATGTCTCCCATTAACAGAGTCACACAACAGTGGGCAAGCAAGTGCAGTCCCAAGCCACATCACTTACAAGGGAAGCCTTGTCTCCTGCCACAGACAACAGCTGCTGCTGCATTTTGCTCACAGGCTGCATTGCCCAGGCCAATGTTTCTCTTTCTTGGAAAGTTTGGTAGGTGGGCGGTGACATTTTCAGCTGCTATTTTCATGCATCATTCTTAGTCACTGTGGGCAGCTGGAAGCCAGCAGAAAGTCCTCCTATTATCCAGGGCTGGTTCCTTCCCACTCTCCAACCTTCAGGAGAAAGTGACAAGTCCCAGTGCAGAGCCCCACAAAGACAGAACATCTTCCAGATGAAAGAAAGATAAGCATAGGCTTTGTGATAGGGCTGAATCCAGAGTGACCCTAGCCCTTTTGAAGATCTGATATC